GAGAAGGGGATTTCTGGGGGGGCTTTGTGCCTGGGGGAGGTGAGAGTGGGAGGGAGGAATGTGGCGGCTGGTGGGGATGGGGGTTGGGGTGTGAGGGCCTTTCTGTGTGGGGTGGTGGCCCTGTTGAGGTGGTGAGTTATGTGGTGAGCCTCCATGAATGGTATAGAAAATATAGAATCAGGGAACGGTTGGGTTAGAAGAGCCCTCACAGCCCCCCCTCCCTCCCCCCCAGCTCTGACCTCTCCATGGGCAGGGACATCTCCCATTGCCCAGTTGCCTGCAAACCCATCTGTGGCCTTGGGTATTGGCAGGGATGGGCACCCACAACTGTGGGCAGCAATGCCAGGGCTGCACCACCCTCTGAGGAAAGAATTTCCTGCTTACATCTAATCTAAATGTCCCCTTTTTGTGATTAAAAACATTGTCCCTTGCCTGGAATTCAGCTCTTTTCTCAGGAGACAGATACAAAGAAAGTTTTCTCAGACTGTTTTATCCCCATATCCAGTGAGTGTCAGGGATAAAGCAGCAGGGCAGTCAAGCTGAAACAACGGGGGAGATTTAGATTAGATATAAGGAGGAAATTCTTTATTCAGAAGGCAGCAAAGCCCTAACACTGCTGTCTAGAACTGTGGGTGTCCCATCCCTGGAGGTACCCAAGGCCATGGATGAGACTGTGCGCAGCCTAAGCTGGTGAGGAACAACCAGCCCACAGCAGGGGTTGGGGCTGGGGGAGAGCTTCAAGTTCTCTTCCATCCCAGGCTATTTTATGTTTCTGTGATTCAGTTAGAATTAGTGTCTTGGGACGTCCTGTTGCCCCTCAGTGGCATTCTTCTGAGTCCTTTAGTTTGAAGGGAGACTCTGTGTGTTGTAGTACGTATATCATGGTGACACCTTAAAGTCAGTGAAATCATGGCTGAGGGGGAGAGGTGCTTTGAAATGTTATTTAAATGTTATTTATCTCAGAAGGTTATATGAAGCTATAAGCTAAGGTGAACTCTGCCAAGAGATTAAGGCTGTTCTTCGAGCGATGGCAGCATTTCATCTGGGATAGGCCAGTACAGTACAACACAGGATAAAGGGATATCAAATCTCTTACACAAGAGTGAGAACATCTTTTGGAAGCATGAGAGAAGATGGACTGGAATTAAGCTGTGTGGATGGGAACTAACAAGGACTGACTGGACGCGAACGACTTGAGCAAAAGCTTTGTTCTTTAGTGAGGAGTCAGAGGGATAAAGTGGGCTGCAAATAGGAGAGCATTGAAGAATACCAATAACTTCATCTCCAAAGGTGTGAGGGAGAAGCTTGTACTCTTAGCAAGTGGCTGGCTATGGTAGAAGGAATGCAGGGTGCTTTGTAGAGTGAAGGAAGCTGGTGTTAGTCACGAGGACGTGGGCTCAGGCTGCTGTCTGTCAGCCCCATGCAAAAGGCAGGAGAGCATAGATTTGAGTAGAATAACAGAAACAGGAGCAGTTGATTAAACCTGAAAAAAATGCTTTTTAAGTGGTGTCTGAATTTCCATACAGAGGTCTGGGCTGTGACAAGACCACAGGCTGCCCCTTTGAGGGATGCTGCCCTCCGTGTGAGAGTTTGCAGGGGCCAGATGTGTGCTGCACAGCTCCTGATGGCATCAAGTGCTCCATTTGGAGGTTAAAAATATCCTACAATTCCTACAGGAGATCTCCTTTGTCTTGATGCATGAAATCAGATAACTGAGAGAAATAATGAAAACGACAGCTGTAAAAGACTGAGATAAAATGTTTGGGTGTTTATGGATGTGAAAGGCATCTAAATGACAGGTAGTTCTCTCCTTTAAAACGTAGTTTCAAAATACTTCTTTTATATTACATTCTTAATAGTATATTTAAATAGATACAGTGCAATTGATTTAGTTAGAATCTGAACTAATTCTAACAAATCTCCATGAAATATATTTTTTTCTTTTAATGTGGATTATGTTAAAGCTAAGCTCCATATGTAAGTAATGGCGTGGCTTTGAGGCTAATCAAAAAAGTGGTATTTAGGGATTAATTAAAAAGAAGCAGTCCTGAATATTGTGTTGTAAAGCATGAGTTCACTCCATTCTGTTGTGAGAGTCTTGGGATTAAACAGGAGTGTGCAGAATGTTATATGTGGTATATATAAAACTAGATTTAATGCTAGCTATTTAATTATGCCACTTAAAATGGGACTAACCAAGTTTCAATGTATTTTAGAGCAGTTTTGTGGACTGTAAACTTTGTCAGCAAGCTAATTCTTTCCATAAAGCAGTGCACACATGATGGCACTGTAAACAAATCCCCTGTTTAATTAAGTCTTCATAGCTCACTAATAAACATAAAGACTTCCAACGTTGGTGTTCAGGTCCAGGGGAAGGAAAATGAGTTTGCAGTTGGTGTTGCTGCTGGTGTTGGCTCATGGCAGATGTCCCCATGGTAGTGATAAAAGGCAGAACTCAATTTCCTGCAGTATCAGGTGAGCTGTGTTCTGCTGGAATCAGATGGGTGATGGAGGCAGTGTGGTCTGCTGGGGATTGGCTGCAAAAGGCTGCTGTGCTGTGGGATGCATTTCCCATGTCAGTGTTGTTGCTGGACATCCACTCTCATGATAATTTTCATTAGGAAAATAATAAAATTAAAGGCTGCCCAAACTTAATGAGCTGTAGATTCCAGTGCCTGTGATACTTCTTGCTTCTCTTATCCTTGATGGATAAACAAATACGTTTCAGTACAGCATCTGCAAGGTTGATTTTAATTGATTTTATGATGGGTGTCTGTGGAGTATTTCTGCAGTTGGGTAATGTTTGTGTTGGCAGAGTGCTTCTTGGTCACAATGCTGTAAGATATGTAATGCCTCCTATCTTTTCAATCTTTGGAAGGTTTTTGAATACTTCATGTCAGAGAGGGAAGCGACAACCATGAAGGGATGTTTGTTTTCTGTTGTTTTATGATGCTGTCAGTCTTTTCTTTTTTCCCTTCAAAATCTTTCAGAAGGTGCTGATATAAAGTCTGCTGTTGTGGGTGGGGATCAAAACTTCACATATCCTTCCCTCAGTAGCAACTGGGTGCAGTTTATAGTCACACTTTGGTCACACAGCCCTGGTTGCTCTGTGGGCTCATCGCTTTGTCTCCTGTCACCTTTTCTTCTCCACTCCTCTCTGATCCTTCCTGTGGATCTCATCCTACGTTATGGTTGGTTTTGGACAGCAGTGCCCAAAACTGGAAATGGGATTTCATTGGACTCTTTTCACACACCTGTGGACTGGAAGGATTATTTCATGTATAGGAATGAAGTTACCATCCACAAAAGCACATCTCAGTGAATTGTTTTTTGGTTTTTAATGGCTCTACTCAGATCGTTTTCATAGAATCATGGAATGATAGAATGGCCTGGGTTGCAAAGGACCACAGTGCTCATCCAGTTCCAACCCCCTGCTGTGTGCAGGTCACCAACCACCAGACCAGGCTGCCCAGAGCCACATCCAGCCTGGCCTTGAATGCCTGCAGGGATGGGACATCCACAGCCTCCTTGGGCAACCTGTTCCACTGCCTCACCACTCTGTGTGAAAAGATGAGGTTTAGCTACCAAAGGAGGATGTGATCAGCTATTCTTTGACAAGTGTGTGACTTTCAGCAGCGGCAAATCTAGAAGGCTCTACTGAAGTGATCCTTTAAAAATCAAACTCTTATAGAGAACAAAAGTAATTAAAATTAGAGAAAGATTTGTTTGCTCTGCTATCATCTTTTATTTGTAAATCTATTTTGTTTCTGGGCACTGATGAATTTCTTAACTTGAAAGCAGGGCCGTTAATTAGAATGTGTTTAAACTCAATATCCAGCAGCACCGGCAAGCTGGTTGTTCTACAGATAAATGCTTTGCTTTTTGTGCACTGTTCCTCTCATTGGAATGTTGGGTACATTTTATATTTTGTATTAATTCTATCTTTTTCATCAGCCAGGCAGGCCGTGCTCATGTGACTGCATGGGGTGCTTGAAAGAAGAGAGTGCAGTAAGTGAGACTGCAAGTAGGATAAAAGACCTGAATGGAGCACTGAGGTTTCTCAGGCATCAGCCATCCTTGGCATAAAGGCAAGTTGCAAGGGTAGGATGCTTCCTTCAAAGACTGTTTCCAGTTATCAGCTTGGTGAGGAAGCCTTTGTCTCAAGTACAGAGGAATTCTCAGCCCACATACCTTCTTACATCTTTTCTGTCAAAAAGTTTAATGTTGTGGATGCCCCATCCCTGCAGGCATTCAAGGCCAGGCTGGATGTGGCTCTGGGCAGCCTGGTCTGGTGGTTGGCAACCCTGCACATAGCAGGGGGTTGAAATTAGATGATTATTGTGGACCTTTTCAACCCAGTCCATTCTGTCATTCTATGAATGCTTTGCTTGTAATAAAACATCACCCATTACTGCATCCAAATAGGTGAGAACAGATTTATATCTTCTTGTCATATTCCAGTATGATCACTTCCTTGTGTTTCTTTACTGAAAAG